CCCACTGGTTCAGGGAGAGGAGGAAGACATTTTCTGAAAGAGGTGGTAGGAATTGAATCTAGAAAGATAAGTGTTTGAATAGGTATTTATGGAACAGCATTCAGAGAGTAAAGAGCATTTCCTGTAGAAGAGTAACAGGTAACATTGTTTTGACTACAGTTTTGTTGTGTTGATCAATTTCTTGTTATTCAGACTGGTGATTGGACGTGGCTGAAAGAGTTTTATCAAAGGCTTATTGATCAGAAGTGGCAGAGGAAGAAGAAGAGCAAAGAGCATTGGTATCAGAAGGCCATTCTTTCCAAGTTTTTATATTACAGGTATTGCTACTTGTTTATTTTATCTTGAGAGGAAAAGTTAATTTCTGATCTAAAATTTCACTTGAAGCCAGGAAAAGTAATAATTTAAGGTTTGCTGCTATGCCATTGTTGACATTTCAATGTCTCATATTCTTTTTTTAAAAAAAAATAAGATTTACAGAGTCCAGTTTTTAAAAAAAGTAGTAGGCTTATATGAGCTTAGCTTTAGTAACGATTTGATGTTTTTTATTTCCAACTTGGCCAGTATCAATGGAGATGGAGCTGCTCAGCCTGTCCCATCCTCTGCAGAACAGCAAGAACCGTCCAGCTCAGATCAGACAAGTGACTCGGATGGGGCTTCGTGGCCCGCCCCCTTTGAGATGCCTTCTCCAGTCTCTGAAGATCCCAGTGCTTCCAGTCAGGTTAGTCAGTACTTCAGTGCTAACTTAGTAAACTCATTTAAGAGACAAAACCAATGATCTTGTTAATAAATAGATGAACAGGAGTAAAAAATATTCCATCAGTTCATGTCTTACGGTTAGAAAATAATACTTCTTTTAGTTTTTAAGATAGCATTCACAAGAGATTATGAATGGCTAAATCAAACTATTTAAATTAAATAATTTAAAATATTTTTTAAATCTTATTAGCATTTAACAGAGCTCACCAATGTTTATCAATACTGATTATCTTCTTGGCAATAAGAGTATTATATAATAAATATAGTGACGTAGTATATTTTAAATTTTAGATGTATAGTAACTGCCTATCAAATATTGACTTTGAGAGTTGTTTGTAATTTAAATACTGACCTTACATTTTAGTCAGGTTGTTGGGCCTAAACTCACCCTTAAGATTTCATGGATGAAGTTCTGAGACTTTAACCCACATTAATGTTCTAAAGCTTTAGAAAGGAAGAGACTAGACTATGTTGTCTGTTTCGTCTCTTGGTTTCTTCTTACTGCTTGTTTAGTTTTGTCATTGTTCCTATCAAAGAAGAAAATAGCTCCACAGATGTGAATTGTACATGTCTATTTTCAGGAAAATACATTAACAAACTTGAAGAAGATAAAACTATGACCCTTAACTTGGTAAATTGTTTTTCCTCTTGCTCCGTGTTCTCAGGTGTTGAAAATCATTCGTCCAGGTTGTTGCTCTCTTTACAAATTATGGTATTACAACGAGGCATGTACATTTAACTTGATTTTAGTTTTAGTGGGTTTTAAGATGGAGAAACCTAATCATTAAACTATGTAATGAATTCAAATTATTCCCAAGGTGGGAAAAGCTGAGGAAAAGAAAGGAAGTAATTACCATGCAAGTTGACAGAGTGGGTACCTCCAGGAGGGGGTGTGTGGTGTGAATGAAAAGGGACATGGGGCCTGGGTATCAGCAAGGTTCCAGGTCAGGACTTGGGGACTGGTTACACTGGTAATTCGCTTTGTACTTAGTCATTATGCTATATTATTTGTTTTATACGCTTTCCTGTATGTGATTATAGCTCATCAAAGGAGTTTTTGAAAATTATTTTAGTATCCCTTGACTTCAAAACCCACTCGTCAACAAAAAGACACATAATAGAAATACCAGTCTCCTTCCCCCCACCTCCCCTCTCCCATTCCATCCTTACCTCGTTTAGGGGTTGCTATGAGAGATCTTGGAGACTTTTGAGAATCTGTAGACTTGCATGTGGAGGAAGTGAACTGGCATCTAGTTAGTGCTTCTTACGCCGTGTACTTCATGCCATGTTCGTAAAGTACTGCATACACATTGCGCATATGTATTAAGTGTTGATGGTGTCATTTTACAAATAAATGAACTGAAGCTCATAAAGAGTAGATGTTTGTCCATTGTCCAAGCTTGGGTTCAAACCTTGACCCTGTGACTTCAGAGGCCTGTTCTTGGGCTGTGCTCTGCTGTGTCCATGTGTTCCACACTTGCTTAGAAGAGCCTCAAAGCAGCCAGGTTGTCCTAGCAATGGCACGTGCCCAAGAAGAGCTAGGCTGCCATAAAAACAATCTCACGGAGTATTTTTATAACATGTTATACATCCTAAATTTCAGCAGTTAGAGATTTATCTCGGTTTGCTAGCCACCACCTCATAAATTCTTGTTTCCCAAACCTAAACTGCTAGTTTGAGGCCTGGGTTAAGCAATGATAGAGTTGAAGTAGGTGAAATAGTTGTTCAGTATGGCCTCAGAGCCAAACCTTTATTTAGAGCAGTGTAACCTAGGACCCAAATTCTGACTAAAGCAACTATCTGGCAAATATGATTTGGGGAATGGTCCACAGGTTAATATAAATAAATAATAAGAAAGTTCGAAGCTCCATTAGGATTCTTTAAGGAGAAGTCAGGACACAGCAAAAGTGCTAGATATTCACACACACACACCCAAACCCACACCTCCTCACCCTCATGCTTGCAGCCATGTGTACTTGCTCCACAGGTAGGTGCTAAGCTTTCAGCGTACACCTAGGATGAGAAGTGAGTGTTCATGGACTAAGCAGTGTTCGTGCACAACGCATGCCCATCTTGGGGACTGTTGTGGCATTGACATTAGGTTTAAAGTAACGTTTCTTAATGGCAGCTGCCCTAACAATTGGAAACCTGAGTGGTGGACTGAGTTTACCTACTGTCAAAGGTCCCCTTTCTAAAAGTGTTTTCCAAAGTATATTCCACAGAATGTGTTAAGAATAAAAAGTGTCCTGGGATTAAAGCAGTTTGAGAACATTGGGTTACAGAGGGGAAGTAGATTTTCTACTGCAGGACTTGTTAGGGGCTTTTTCATGGTAATAAGCACTGTTACTCTCCAAAAGCGAGTCTGCGGTAAGGAGCGTTTGTCACAGCTTACTCTGGACGTTTTTCTCTGAGTGTCCCAAGGACTAGAATTCTGTGAAACACATTAAGAAATGCAAAACTTGAGGCCATCATCATGATGCATGTCTCAAAAATACGACTGGGGTTTCTTAGGAATTTTTTAATTTCATCAAGATGGGGTAGGTTAAAGAGTAATGGTATTGAAATTCACCCAAAAAAGAGAAAAATTGAAAACTTTGAAAGCTAAAAATAATCCTTAATTTTTTTTGAGTAAGAGCTAAGTATGATTAGCTTATTAGGGTGGCCGAAATAAAGAGCTGGCGTGAGCCACCAGTGACGAGAGTTGATTTGTCTTAGCCTGGTTTACAGTAGATTTGAGGTGTCTGCTTTGATTGTAGGTGATACTCTTTAATAGTAGACCATTTGTAAGAAATTCTGGCAGCAGAATCACTCTATCCTTGCACTTTTCACAGGGAAGTGAGCCTCTTGAACCCTCATACATAGTGGGGCATCTGGCCTCAGCCCCCCAAGAACAAAACCTGACTACTTTATTCAATGACGGGGAGAACAGTCAGGTATGCTTCCCGCGGTGTCCACATTGAGACGCCCAGCCCCGGTCTACTTCACCGTTAAAATTAGTCTCTGTTGGAATTCACAGGGGAGAACATGCTTGATCCTGAAAAGTGCCTTCTGAACACCACTGATCCTACAGCTCTGTCACTTTCATTGGCTTTGTCTCCTTTCCCTTTCCCGTTTCCTAGTCTTTCTGTGGCTCGTGGGGGGAATGATGGCTCTTCTGTTTATTATAAAATAATGTTTCCTATTTTATCTTAAAGGGTCTTAAGAATGATTTTGTTCGGAATATTTTATGGACGTTTGAAGACATACACATGTTGGTTGGCTCCAACATGCCTATATTTGGCGGTGGCAGATACCCAGCAGTCAGCTTACGTCTCAGGTAAACCTCACTCGTGTCCCTTAGAATCCCTGCCCCGGCTGCGTGTCCCTGTTGGTGTGGGCATTGGTGCCTCATTCTGTTCACCTTCCTCCTCCACCAGTGGACATGCACGGCAGGGAAGGAGCTGTTGCCAGGGAATGCTGGGAGCCCTCAGCTGGGCGTTCGCTCTAGGCCTTGCTGCGTGGAGTCGGGTCTTGTACTCGCCTAGTCTTATGTCTGAATCTGCAACGTGTGAAAACATAGTAGAATTTATTTAATTGGTGAAGGAGGTGGTTTTCCACCTTCCTGTTAACTGATCATGAGCATTTTTCTTAATGCTCCAGGTATGTTTGTTCATGGCAGCCAGTGTGAATTCTGACTTGGGTGTTGTTATGCATGGTGTACAGTCTTTCCTGTGGGTTGTTGGAGGAGCATGCAGTAGTCCCACAGCCATCTGCTACCATCTTTCCTTCTATTCCTACTGAAAACTCTTACGATACCGGTTAGCAGTGCAAGCAGAGCTTATGAAAAGGTGTTTAAGTATAACACAGCTATGTACGCGTGTCTCACCAGCAAAGAAAGCTTACATGGCATTTTCCATGTAGGGAGTGCAGGTTAAAATAGTTAATGGGAGAAATAAGTCTCAGGTGATTTATTATGAAAAACCCTAATTAAACCAAATAACACTAGAAATGTATATTTTTAGGGATAACAACAANGTGGGAGAAATAAGTCTCAGGTGATTTATTATGAAAAACGTAATTAAACCAAATAACACTAGAAATGTATATTTTTAGGGATAACAACAAACCAATTAATGTGCTAACTGGAATTGACTACTGGTTGGACAACTTGATATGCAATGTACCCGAGCTTGTGATGTGTTTTCATGTAAATGGAATTGTACAGGTAAGCCCTCACCACAGTTTTTAAGGCACTTAAAATCTAAAGTGTATTGTTTGGCAACAAAGGTAGCTGTGAGTAAACTGAAATTTGAGCATTTTCACATTTGAATTGTTGATAGAATTCTAGATGTTACAGGAGTATAATTTTACAGATAATTTGTGAGAAGGTCATAAATACACTGAACCTGCCTTGGTAGCCATAGAACTGTAACTTTAATGCCAGCCATCCATAGTAGTTACCTCACAGTGTACAGTATAGAGGTATTTACTCAGCACACAAATATCGACTCAATATATGCAAAGTGTTAGGGAAAGGCCACAGTAATACTTGGCGTAAAGTAGATAGTTTATATAGCAAAGTGTTGTTGAGCATGCTCTACAATGAGGCACTCTGTCCCCATTATAAATGTTGGGGGGTGGAGGGGACAAAGAGTAAAGTGGCCATTACTCAGAAAGATACAATCTAATGGGAAGTAACTGTGCAAAGAGAAAATAGGAGATGGCAGATTAAGATTGGACATGTGACTTGCACAGAAGTCTGGTGTTTGTACAAGGGTGAGATCACTTCTCTTGATCTGAAAGACAGACTTCCTGGAAGAAGTGGCTTCTTAACTGGATCTTGAATGACAGCATCCCAGAAAATAAGAAATGGATTTAAAAAACTAGTGTTAGTAAATGAGGGATTGATGATCAACCCGGTAGGGAACAGGCTTCTGTAGCAGAATAGCAGAAGGATTGGAAAAGTCAGCCAAATAATACAGAGCCTTGAATGCTGAGCTAGGGCGTTTGGACTTGGTTTGGTTTGGAATCTGGAATCAGTGAAAACTTTGCATCTGGGATGTGAAATTCATGTATTGGAATATTATTTTGGAGACAAGAAGATGGGGTAGGCATGCACTACTTTTAGAAGTAATGTAAGATCCTCATATTTAGTAAGTGCCATACTAAGGATTGACAGCTGTCATCATGGCTAGTATTTATTGAGTACATCTTTGCTAAGTGCTTTACAGGCATTGTATTTGATACTCATATCAGCTCTTAGCTGCCCGTCTGCTGTTACCCCTTTTGATGGAGAGGGAGACTTGAGAGCCACAGAGCTTGAGTGAGTCACTCAGGCCACACTGCTAGTGAGTGGTGGTGCCAGTATTTGACCCTGTCTCTGACTGAGGCCACGCTCTTAGCCCTTGTACTGCTGCAGCCCAGCGATGCCTCCCTTGCACCGTGTATCAGGATCCCTTGTGAACGCTGTAGGAATCCACTTGCTCAGGCCCGCAGTATTTCAGGATGGGTGGGAGCTTGGTAAATGCTTATTTGCACCCTTGGTTGAGATCCACTGTTACACCATCACCCTAAATGGTAGTGTTCAAGGAGAGGCCATGAGTGGGGCGGGGGAAGAGTGAAAGGGAATTGTAGGACATGGCTTAGGAGCTGAGGAACTGGAGTCTTGGTGGCATCATTGCCTGAGGTGGGGGTGTTGAGTCGGTTCAGGCAGGGAAGGTGATGTATTTGTTTTATTGTGTGCAGTTTGAGGAAAGCATTGAAATGCCCAGTGAGCATGTTGAGGCTGTAGGCATTAGGAGACAGGACTGGAGACAGACCTCAGCACCTGCTGCCCATATCCTGTTGGAGTTCATACCAAGGGAATCCATTAAACTCCAACATTGGAGCCCTTCCCCAGGCAGGTGAGAGGGAGGGAGCCTTCAGATCGAGGGAAGGAGAGCCAGAGTAATGCTCTGTAAGATCCAGGCGAGGTTCAGTGATGGAGAAGGGTGAAGACCAACCTTAGGAGACTGTGGTCTCATTTCCCAGTTGGCTTGGAGTGTCTAGTCAGTGTACTTCAGAAAATGAGAAAATGGTAAGGGGAGTTCAGGGAAGTGTGAACAGAAGACAAGTGGTAGTAACGTCCATGCAGCCTTTACTCTTATGCCGGCCCCCCCCCACTCCATTTCTGTGAAGGAATAGAGTGCATAGCTCTTATGGAAGAGGAGTGTCTGCTGGAGAAACTTCCCAGGAGATTCTAGCCTCAGGGGTGAAGTCTGCCTGTGTTAACCGTCTGCCCAGTTAAAAGCCATTGGGGTGGAATAGAAGGAATTGTGCTGTGGGGTATGGTCCACGTGATAGCAGGAAGGAAGTCATGCCTAAGTTTGTGGTTCAGAATCAGGTGATGACTCTCCCTTGAGGATGACTCCCGTGGTGAATGGGCAGTGATGCTGGCGGGAGGGTCGGACTCCTTTGGAATACTGGAGCGGTAAATAGATGAAAGCCCACTGGTTACATCCCACTCCTGCTGCATAGGTCTCTGATGGCAGGGTTTACTTATTTGCTTGCTTTTTAATAAAAGAAGTGTGGCTGCCTAGGTTTTCTCTTACACTGCCTTCTATGTGTTTTATAGAAGTATGAAATGATAAAGACAGAAGAGATTCCCAATTTGGAAAACTCTAATTTTTCTACTAAAGTCATAAAAGACATTGCACAGAATATTTTATCGTTTCTGAAATCTAATTGTACCAAAGAAGGACATACCTATTGGCTGTTTAAAGGTGAGCTAGTTCTTGAGTGTATAATCATTGCTTTGAGTGACGACTGTAAAATGAGGTCTGTTGGTTGGCTTGTTTTTTGCAGCGAGTGGCAGTGATATAGTGAAGCTCTATGATCTCACTACTCTTTGTGAAGAAACTGAAGACAAATATCAAAACCCATTCACCATGCCAGTGGCTGTTCTACTGTATAAGTGAGTGCTGTTGGGGTGCAAATGTGCAGCCACGCTGCCCAGGCCGGGGCTTTTAACACCTGCTAGGTTTTCATAGTTTAAACAATTGTGCGTGTACACGCACTATACCAAACTAAACTTGGGGTTGCGTGTGTGTGAAGTACAGTGTTTGGTGGTTTCTGTGGCCCGCACCGAGTCCTGCAGAGAGGGATGCGCGGGGAGTCAGCTGACGCACACTGTTTCCTAGGGTTGCCTGCAACATGATGGTGAAGAAGAATCAGAATAGGAAGCACTATGGAACTGTCAGGACGTTGCTGCTTAACTGTGTCAAATTGCTGGACAAGAGCAGGCATCCCCAGGTAAGACTGACGTTTGCATGCTCTGTGAACACCGCCTCGTTCTGGAGAGAACTGCTGCCTAGGCGTGGAAGCCACCTCCCCTGGGGGCACCCCGACCCCATGTGGCTGCTGAGCACTGATGTGCCCCCTCTGGACTGGGGTGTGCTCTCAGTGCCACGTACACACTGGATTGTAAGACTGTGTACACGTTCCGTGTCCATTGACTCAAATGTAATATTAAAACTAAGTGATCTAGGTTTTTCACTTAATTAAAATTAAGTGATCTAAGTTTTTCTAGGTGTGGCCAAGCGGCTCCTGTTACATTCCTCTTGAATAGTACAGTCTGTAAATGTGGAGCTCATGTGGTGCTCTTTCCTTTCGTGTTACTGCTGCTTGGAGGGGGAAACCTGGAAACCTGTTTTACAGTATCTTAAGATTTTCTCACACGAGTGGATCTTGTTAATCACTGTTAGTATAAATAAGATTCATGGTCCACACTTCAGTATGTAATGAAAGCATCTCCTAAAATAATCTCAGTCATGGGCCCCCAATTTTACGCCACGCCCCGTGCCCTTAGTTGTCTGTATTTTTTGGTATAAGGTTGGTTGTCTATTTAAATCAGAGAAGGTCTGTAGTATGTACAATTTTTTTTTTAAGATGCAAGTTAGCACAGACAGTTTAGAGATAAAGATTATCCTAGAGACCAAAGCAAGAGAAAACTTTTCTGCAGAAAAATGGCAAAAGAGTTTCCTGACTTAAGTTTCTGACTTAAGTATCTAATTGCTGATTGAAGTAGTGGTGTCCAGTGGATTTTGAATAGTTTATGTAACAGAAAATGCTGTTACAACTATTGTGGGTCTGTGATTACAAGTCACTTTATAACACATAATAGAGTGGAATAAGTAGTAATACAGGCATGCCCATTTTAAGAGATACCAGGATGGACTTTTCCCTCATTAAGCTAGTGGGGGGTCTTCCCCCGGGACCATAAATTACATAGTAAATATTAGTTGCCTGTTAAATTTATAGCTTATAAAGAGAAATTCTCGTTTCTCAGTTCATAGAAGGATACTTGCTGATATAGTTAGGACACTCTACATCTGAAGATTTTTGTCTCCAGTGAAATACAGTTGCCAGTTTTTTTTAAGAGGGCGGGTGGGGATGGGATAATTTCAGGAAGTAAACATCAGCCCATGAGACTCTCACAGAGCACGTTCAGAGTGTATGAGTAGCTGTGAGTCGGGAACGTTTCTGTGTGCTGCTTGGTCTGGGGTGGAAGCAGCCTATTTACAGAGCCCTTGAGACTGGTTAGTGTAGGAGTAAAGCTCATGCCACTTCAGAGTCCTCAAGTTTGATGACAGTTACACATGTTTTTCTTTCTTTTAATAAGATTATTGCTTCAGCCAATTACATGCTTTCAGAACTTTTTCAATTGGATGAGCCTAAAAAAGAAGAAAGTTCAGAATCTCCGTTAAATGAGAATTCTGACGAAAGCTATAGTGAGGAAGAGGAGGAGATGCCAGACAGCGACGAGAACGGGTCCTATGGCGCCAGCTCTGACCCTCCAGATGATAACAAAGCCGTGGCCATCATCAAGTCTGTGGGAGAGCTGTCCGTTCCAGAGAAGTACAAATCCATCCATCAGATCAGAGTAAGCACGTTTAAGTCTGTGACAGTGGCACCAGTGGGGAAACGGGCAGTTGGTAACTGAGTACAATTGGCCTCTCAGAAGGTGGCTTCGCTGCAGTAAACCATGGTCCAGGTTCTCATCATTGTTAGCTCTGTGAATTTTAAAACCTGGTTTATAATGGTCCCAGGGTAACTACCCATGTGCAGGCTTGTGGTGGGCAAATGTGTGAACCACATATCTGTGTATTAATGTTTATGTGGGAGGCTTTCCTTTCCAGTGACAAGTCAAAGTAGACGGGTGACTTGTTGATCCATATCTTGAGAGACCTGGTTCCTTATCCCTGTGCTACAGGACAGTACTTTCTCAGTGCCTGGGGCCATGCTGTCTGGATGGGACATATTTCTGGCCTAACAACTTCCCCTTGAGGTTCCTTTTGGTGTGGAATGTGCTATGTGTCAGTTTTCTAAATGATAATTACTTTCCAGTCCTCCCTTTCTGTGGTCAGATCCAGGTCAGCCTTAAAAGAGTTCTGGCTGTTCCTTGAACCGAAGTACAGTCATATTTACAGATAATCTTTTAATTTAAGCTCTCAGTTAACTTTCAGATGGAAACTTCATCCTCTAACAGGTTTCTAGAGGACACCTCTCTGTCACCCTGAAATACTGCCTGTCTTTCTGACCTCCTTTCACTCTCCCCTCTTGTTTATTCTCGCCATGCTGCCCTTTTTTCTGTCTCTCAAATTCATCAGGATCGTGCCCATCTTAGTTTGCACCTGCTGTTGCTAATTGGAAGTTGAGCTGACCTTTGAGATTAGGTGTACGTTTATCTAAAATATTACTACTCACATTCACTCTTTTGTTATAATAGAGTAATTTAAAAAGTTTTAAGTACTTATAGCAGCATGTATGCTGGAAGATCTTTTTGTTAAGCAGGATTTGTGTTGATGATGCTTATTATATCAATTTAATCTTCAGTTAAAACAGTACATCACCCTTAATACCTCACTGAGCTGAATACACAGCATGTTGTGAAACTGCTGATCTGTAGAGGTTTAGCGATTCCCAGGAGCTGAGAGCGGTGGATTTCTCACCCTGGGGGGGTGTATTAATAACTTCATGTGTCTGTTTTTGAAGCCCAGCTGTGCGTTTCCGGTTTGCCATGACACAGAGGAGCGCTGCAGACTTGTGCTTAGCTACGTCCTGGAGGTAAGTTTGGGCTCAGCCTTCACTATTTCGGTAAATTTGCACCTGATGTGCACATAGCACGTGTGTGTTTGTGTCTGATGTTCTGAATGGTTTTCTCTCCTTTAAGCATAAAGTGAAAATCAGTTTTCCCAACTCTTTCAGGTTAAATGTAGTTTTAAAATCTGTTTTCAAAATATAAATTCTGCTAAATGTATTTAGTAGCCTAGAAATTGCCTTATATTTAGTGTCTAGTTGATCTTCAGTTACGTGTACCAGTGACTGTTTCTCTTTTCTTTAAAGGGTTTAAAGTCTGTGGATAGCAGCATCAAGAAAGAAAGCGACCTCCCTGCAGCTGACCCCAACACCCCAATCCCTTTAAAATATGAAGATGAGTCCGCAATGGGGGGTCCTGAGGGTCTGGAGAAGCAAATGGCCTTGTTTTTGGATAAAAGTAAGTCAAATTGATGTGCAAATAAGGCCTTTTCAATAGGATAATATGCTGGTCCTTTCTCAACAACAGACATATCAATTAAGGCACAATTGACAGGAACCTCAGAAAAGGAGAGCATGTGAGTGAAAATATCTTTTCATTCAAAATATAAAACAGAGCAGGGTCATATTGACCCTTTACAGGTATCCCTAATGAGAACACAGAGTTATCCTGAGAAATCCCTGCCTCAGTGAGAGCCAGCAGGTAGAGAGCAGCCAGAACCAGACCCCCTAGCTCCGGTTCTGGCTTTGCTAGGCAGGCGGCTCACTCTCTGAACCTATCTTCTCTCAAAATGGAGACAGTAACTGTGCGTCCAGAGGGTTGTTAATGGACTAGATGAGTGTGTAAAGTGCTTAAAACTGTGCACTAAGGGGCACCATCCAAGCTCATGGTAGCACTGGAATAAGCTAGAAATGTCACTGAGAAGTTCATCTCACTTGTTCCTGGGACATTGCTTCATGAAGAGCATGAGAACTTGAAAGTAAACGTCTTGAGTTTCTCGTTTATTTTAATCTAAATTAAATTTTTTTTCCAACCTTGTCCCCTCCCCCCTTTAAAAATCCGTTTCAGTTGTTTAAAAAAATGTTTTGAAAGCCTCTATGTATGGAATAATACCAAGTGCTTTGGGATCTTCTCTTCATGAACATAAATGGGGTGGTGGGTGGGTTCCCCAGCATTTATGTAGCTCTTCCTGTGGGCAGTAACTTGACTTTGACTGAAGGATGGTAGGGGTGGACTACTGGGAAGTAAAACTGGAAAAAATGTGGCTTAGGAAGTTGCGCTAAGATGCTTATACTTAATGGGTGGTGAGAGGCCATTTTAATGTTTAGAACAGGTTCCAGTATGATTAAAGCTGAGCTCTAGGAAGGTAAACTTTTTGGCAGATTGGCATGCAGGCTGGAGAAAGGAGCAGGTGTCAGTAGCGACTCTAGTTAAGGCAGTGACCTGAAAGAGAGTGACAGCTGACGCCGCAGGGAAACCAAAGCCCTAGGGAACCAAGTGAGCGTCTGTTAACACTGCTGTTTTACCCCATGTGGCTAAGAAGTGAAGTGTGGTGTTTACCAGTCTTGTTACAACAACAGTTACCTAAGCCTTGAGTGTTTTTATTAAAAAACTATTATTTTATGGTGACTTATATTGAAATAAAACGTGCTGCCTTTTTCCTCCTGTGTCCTAGTGGGCTCCCTTCAGAAGGGTAACTATTCTAGTCAGTCTGGGATGATCCCCGGTTCCTGGCAACATAAAATGAAACTCCAGCTGATTCTCAAGTCATCAAAGGCCTATTATGTTCTGTCTGACGCTGCCATGAGCCTTCAGAAATATGGAAGAGCGTTACGATACATCAAGTTAGCTCTGCAGAGCCATGGTAAGCCACTGTACACGGAGATGCTTAACAGGCATTGGGAGAGGACAACAGGGAAGTCATCTGAATCTCAGTGAAATTTTACTCCTGTTCCCATTGTAAAATTTAATTTTAAAACCACCTTGCTTCATCTTGTGTGTTACCTAGTATTTTATTTTTTGCTCAGTGGCTTAACGTGTCTTCATTTTGAGATATTTGAAGCCATGTGTGCCGTCCGACATAAAGTAAACTTCGAGTGGCTGCCGGTGGTAACGTTTCCTATACTGACTATTCGCTGTGCGCTTTCCCCCCTCCCCTCGCCCTGCAGATACCTACTGCTGCCTCTGCACCAACATGCTGTCCGAAGTGCTGCTGTTTCTCTCTCAGTACCTGACCCTCTGTGGCGACATCCAGCTGATGCTAGCCCAGAACGCAAACAACCGGGCAGCCCACCTCGAGGAGTTTAATTACCAGACTAAGGAGGACCAGGAGATACTCCACAGCCTCCACCGGGAGTCCAGTTGCCAAGGTATGCCAGCGGGGGCCTGCCTTTGTTCACCCTGGGACTGCCCATTCCAGCCTCTGTTTGATAGGGTATGTCCAGAAAGGGGCGGAAATGCTAGTGTTTGATATCACTCTGTTATGTTTCACTTATTTAATTTTTTAATACTGTGTATTTGTATATAAAATGTTTTTGAAGTATTTTGTAATTAATTATACAACTAGAACTATCAGACAAGCTCTCAGACAATCATGTTGACTTTCTGTACTTGTCTTTTCATTCCATGTCTTCAGGTAACCCTTGCAATCAGCAAACAAGCCATGATTTCTTTAGAAACGGAATAGCAGTTAGTTGGTAAACTGGATGAATTACCTTCTGAATAATTCCTGGGGCTCAGATACAGAGATCGTTTTTAAACTTAGTTCAGGATTGGCAGTCTCACTGAATATATCACTCTGTGGAGTTGTCAGATTTTTAAACTGGGGAATAGGAGGGCTTAGTCCACAGCATCAGGCCCCTCCCTCTGAGCTCAGCGCAGTGTTCTGATTGCTGTGGTTAGGGCAGTGAAGAGGGAGAAGACCAGTCTTCAGTAATGCATTGTGAATTGTTTTACTATACTCCTACGTTGTGTGTATCATTGGCTGTCCCCCTCCCCAAATCTAGAGAAGTACATTGGTGGGAAATGTATTTCCTCTTTCTCCCCCCCTTCCCCTTTTCCCCTTCCGAGTTTCTCATTTTTTTTCTGATAGACACGGTGAGAAAATCCTCAGTGTGTTTCTATACTCCTGTTATATTCGATGTAAAATACGTCTTCATGAAAGGGATGTTCTCTCCTGTATTTGAGTGTTATCAGCCGGAGTGGTACCCTTTTCCCCCTGGAATTTTGGGCTCTGCATCTAAGTTTACTCCCATCCCTGCTAGATGGCACGGTTGAGTCTGAGAGCCCATCTAGTGGCTTCTTCAGTGTCAAACGTGCATTGTACTTTGATTGGCAGACTGTAATGTCCATAACCGCCTCCAGTAGCATCAGAGCTTCACTGCAAGAACTGCTTCCATTAGTTAAAGAGAAAGGGTGGTTCACCCTGCGTCAGCAGACACCTTGAGGCTGCACCAATGAGCAAGCATACCTGGTAAAAGCTGGGTCATGGGAGTTGGTTGATATTTTTAGGCAGGAAAATATTTCTTTTAATCAAATATTAATGTCCCAAGAAAACATAGTTTTCTAAATAAAGAGATCTTTACTTTGAAACTGAAATTTTTAGTTCCATTGATTGAATCTTATACCATATGTTTATACTGTATTACATTTATTTAAATATTATTTTAAGTGTCAGATTACCTGGATACTGAGGAAGTGAGATTTACATGACTCATGATGGTGACGTTTCCTTTCCCTCTTTTAAGGATTTGCCTGGGCGACTGATTTGTCTACGGATTTAGAAAGTCAACTTTCAGTTAGTTGTAAATGTTATGAGGCTGCTAATGAAATCTTGCAATTTAGTGACTTAAAAAACCAAAACCCAGAACACTACGTCCAAGTATTGAAGAGAATGGGCAACATTAGAAATGAAATCGGTGTGTTCTATATGAATCAGGCTGCTGCGCTACAGAGTGAGAGAGTGGGTGAGTGTCCCTCTGGAGTCCTTTTCTCTTAGAAAATCACATTGATTTTGGTTCAAGCAAGGAACTCTGGCACTTGATTTTATGTCCTGGGTGCTCTGTTAAAAAAGTCTTTTATTCTTAAATTCTCAAGAAGTAAAGTTAGGAAAAAACATGATTTCCCCTTGGAACTCACCATTTCAGTGCTTGCCATCCGTCATCTGGTCAGCCAGCCGGGGCCAGGCCTGAGGCAGATACATAGTGGCTGAAACATAGTTCCCCTCTGAGGCAAGGAGGCAGATAATGCACACCTCTGAACAGTGCCACAAGTACACACACAGTGCGACAGGAGTGGGGAAGGAGGTGTGTGTTGAAGCTTCGGGTTTTAGGAAGGCTTTGGTGTAGTTGGAGCAGATGGTACATGTCACGTAGGATGTCAGCAGGCAGGCGTGGGAGGTGGAGGGGGCTGTCCAGACTGAGTGGCAGCATAGGAAGGAGCCATCGCTCTAGGGTCCAGTGGGTGTTTAGAGTGGTGGCAAGATGTGTAGTTCACAGATGGAGAGAGGGCTGAGATAGAAATTCTGTCGACTAAGCTGTGTGCCTGTTGACCTATGAATTGTACTTGACATTTGGGACACACACAGTTTGTTGCTAGTGGGAGAACCTGTGCTTTAAAAAAAATTAAAAAAAAATATATATATATATATATACTTATATTAATTGAGATGTAAGAACCTGTGCTTTTTAAGTCGGTGAAGGAGTGTGGAAAGTGGTGGTCAGAAACTTAGGGAAATTAGATAACACAGTCTGTAGAATCTTTATACAGTAGTGCTGTGCTCATGTTTTCATTTGCTTGCTGTAGTATCAGCCAGTTACTATTGAAGAGGGCTGTGTTCGAGGGTTGTGTTAGTCTGCCCTAACATAAAACCACAGACTGGGTGCCATAAATCACAGAATTTATTTCTCACTCTGGAAGCTGGGGGTCTGAGACCAAGATTTCAGCAAGGTTGGGTTTCTCTGAGGCCTCTCTCCTTGGCTTCTCACCTTCGCCACCCCTCTGCTGTCTTTTCTCTGTGGGTGTCCCTGGTCTCTGTCCCTTGTAACACCACTACTCATGTTGGATTTGGGCCCCACATCATAATCTCAATTAATCTTAATTACCTCTTTAAAGGCTCACTCTCTGCATTTAGAAATGGGGCCTCAGTATGACTTTGAGAGTAAAGGATGTATAGTCTGGCCCAAGACGTGTGATGAGAGCACTGCACTGCAGTTGACTCCAGGTGGCTGGCTGTCTCCGGATGTCCTGTCACTGCCCTCGTCCTCTCGTGATTGCATCGAGGGACACTGCTGAGGACACTGGTGGGGTTTATACAGATGTCTGCTTACACAAATTTTTTTTTTTTATAAAGTGAGCAAAAGTGTGTCAACTGCAGAGCAGCAACTGTGGAAAAAAAGCTTCTCTTGTTTTGAAAAAGGGATCCACAACTTTGAATCAATTGACGATGCTACAAATGCAGCCCTTTTGCTATGCAACACGGGGAGACTCATGCGGATTTGCGCACAGGCGCACTGCAGCGCAGGGGACGAATTTAAGCGCGAATTTTCACCAGAGGAAGGCTTGTATTATAACAAGGTAACACCTTTGCTTATGTGTTGGACCTCATCCATTCACACGTGTCATTTACCTTTGCCATTGTTCACTGAACTATCATAAAACCAAAGTAATGAAAACTGTGGCGATGGCATGGGACTAGACAGACAATTAAACGACTTAGAAATAGGCCTGAGAGTAGTAAGAATTCATACTGAAGGTGACACTGAATTGGTGGGTAAAAGGTGATGCGTCAGTGAAGTGTGTTGGCCTAACTAGAGTGAACGTCAAGTGGATTAAAGATTGATGTGGACGAGTGAGACTGGAAAGTACCAGACAAAAACATGGGAAGAAAAATCATCTCATGGGATGGGTAAGACTTTCCCAGCACGACACAAGCAGAAGTCACAGAATAAAAGATGGTAAACTTAAATGTGCAAAAGTTAAGTGTAAGTGCCAACAGAAAGCAAAATTGAAAATCAAACAGTCTGGAGAAGATGTTTCTAGCACACGGGGCAGATCAGAGGTTAATAAGCCCTTGGTGTAGAACAGTCAGGAATCTGAAAATACGCTGTCCCAATAGAAGAAAGGGGCAAAGACCCTTGAACAAAAAATTTATATATGTATAAAAAGTAAATAGTTAATATGTAAGAAAAATTTCAAAATTTGAACTTTTATGGAATTTAAAATTTGAGTTTATCAAATTACCAAGTAATTTTTGGCAAGTGGTAACATCCAGTGTTGGAGAGGGTGCTGGAAAACAACGCGTTTAATCAAGTACAGGTATCATATCCCCACTTTTTTTATAAGACCTGCACTAGTGCCTGTTTTCACTAACCAACACAAAGCTGAAGAGGATTTTTGCTTTTAGAAAGCAAATCAAAAATAGCCTTCAGCCTTTGTTTTGCAGTGAGCTGTTCGAGGGGCAGCGGGCACCCCAGCAGCTAGAGTGTCCCCGCCACCTCCTCCCTGGGAACCACACTCAGCATCTGATCATCCAGCCCAGAGCTTGACCTGTGTCTGAGCATCGGGGCTGCACCTCCATGGACCTTGTGCATCTGTTAGTGAGCTGTGTCCTGAAATATCAGAACAGCCCAGGAGAGCTCATAAGAGGGTCACACTTAACAAACCTATGTGTAATTAAATGTTTCAGTTGTGGTGAACAAAATAAAAACACGTGTGCATTCAATTTTAGATCTGGGAACATGCAAAAAAGTTTCCATGTTCATGGTAATTGCGTCTTCACTTTACACTGTGTCAGCTTACAGAGTTACTGCTGGGTGACCGGATTGAGTAATTGGATTTGCTTGGGCATGACCACCTATTTCAGGAGGGGGGTAGAAAGGGCGAGAGGCACTGCTGGTCATGTCTGGTAAACTTTTATCCTCAGACTCATCGATTTTTTTGTTGTTTTTAGTTTACTTTTTATGTAAGCTGGGGTTTTCATTTAGAAAGAAAACGAAGGTAGTGCATTGTCGTGCGTCCGTGTGAGTCAGGAAGTGCGCGGCTCGGTAGACTAGAGATGGACTGTGGGCGGCTGGTACTCCACGTGACAGTCTTCACTGAGATAGCCGCACTGTACTCTCTTCCCTCCTCCTAAACTGTCCTTCCACAAATCCTCCTCAAAGCGCATTAACACCTGGGTGACTGGGCAGGATGTTTAATGTAATGTACCACGTGTTTACACGTTTCCTGCCACACAGGCTGTCGACTACTATCTGAAAGCTCTGAGGTCCCTGGGAACACGAGACAGGCACCCCGCAGTCTGGGACTCCGTGAACTGGGAGTTGTCCACTACCTACTTCACTATGGCCACGCTGCAGCAGGATTACGCTCCGCTTTCCAGAAAAGCTCAGGAGCAGGTAACAGTGCCCGCTGGGCTGTACAGGAGGTCACCTGCCTTCTGTATCCTCTTAAGGTGTACTGAGCATGTTTTCACTGACATGCAGTATTTAAATGTCTTTAAACTTCTTACATAATTGTGGGTTTATCTACTTTTTTTTTTTTTACCTCCCCCTTAAAAAACAGATTGAAAAAGAAGTCAGTGAGGCCATGATGAAGTCCCTGAAGCACTGCGACGTGGACTCGGCGTCTGCGCGGCAGCCCCTGTGTCAGTACCGCGCTGCCACCATCCACCACCGGCTGGCGTCCATGTACCACAGCTGCCTGAGGAACCAGGTATTGCCTCTCCAACTCCGGTTCAGCGCCAAGTCCACTTAAAAGTGTCGTGGGTGCTGTTCTTACATTTCAGTGTGTATTTTAAACGCCTTCTGTTCTGTTAGCTACTTAGAAGAACTTGGAGTGCAGGCATTTCCCCACCCTGCCATATCCCGTATATGTTTCTCTACTATAAATTGGATCTTAATTTGCAAAATTATATATTTCCCTGGGTGTCTTATTTTGACTTTTTTAAATATAGTTAGGCTTTATTAGAATAGTATTGTGTAAATCTTGAAGTACCCATCTCCCATCTTTTAAGAGTTTTATTATGAAATCAAGCATGCATGTAAAAGCACGTAGAAATGTGTGGGGAACATGTATAGTTTAAAAAATACCAAAAAGAAAGCCCCGTGTACCTCACCTCGAGCTTGAGGAATGAAAGAGCACTGTAGGGGTCCCCTGTGTACCCCTCCCTGTTGAGTCTCCCTCCAAACCCACCCAGAGCCACTGTCCTGCATTTTCTGATACTTCCCTACCTCCTCTGTGTTTTACCACTTAACATGTTCACATCTCACTGGCTTGTGAACTGTGTAGCAGGAACCTTCCTTCACGTTCTCTCTGTGGCTTAGTTTCCTTCCATTTAGCATTGTGCTGTTGAGATTCTCCCAGGTCAGCGCGTGTAGCTGATCATTTCCTCAGCTCAGTGGTGTTCATGAAATGGTTATGTCACAGTTTATTCATCCACGCAGTGAGTGCTGAACTTCTGGGTTGTTTCTGTTTGAGCCTGTTAGAAATAACCTGTGAGGAGTCTTGTGTACAAATCCTGGTGCTCAGACGCATGTGTTGCTAAGAGTAACTGGAGGCCTTGGTGGAAGGCACTTCCTTTAGAGAGGTTGCCTTGCTTCTGCCAGGAGTCCTGTGTGCAGCTTCTCAGAGAGGATTTTTGTTTTGCTGATTCCTTTTCTTAGCTCAGTGCCACAACAACTTCTCTTACACTCCCTTGGGCGAGGGTTCACTTCTGAGTTGCCTTTACCCTGAGATTACTGTCCTTGAGGCCTAGCTTGATTGGAGAGGATTTCCCTCTGCTGTGCTGGCCCATGACTCCTTCCCTTTGCCCATAGGAGGCCCCTGACCAAAAATCAAGTTTGCCAGGTCGCCTAATAGCCTCAAGGCAAAAGCAAGCTTAAGAGTTACAAGACAGTCAGTGCAGTGGTGCAGGAATTGTCTTTTCAGCAGTAGCACTGAGACAAGTGTACATCCACCTGCAGAGTGGGCTTGGGTTCCTGCCTCACCTCTCACACTGAGTTAACTGAAAATGGAGTAAATGCCCAAGTGTGAAGCTATCATGTAAGACACATAAAACACTACCCCTACGAGAAAGCCTCAATGATCCAGGCAGAGACTTGGTTAGTAGTCACTGTGGAACCCAAGCCTCTGACTTGCTTTCGCTACCTTTTTGGTTCTAGGTTGGGGACGAGCATCTCAGGAAGCAGCACCGGGTGCTGGCTGACCTTCATTACAGCAAAGCCGTGAAGCTCTTCCAGCTCCTGAAGGATACGCCGTGCGAGCTGCTGAGGGTGCAGCTGGAGAGAGTGGCGTTCGCGGAATTCCAGATGAGCAGTGAGTCCTACGTTTCACCCCTCAGATGTGTGTGCATTGGCTCCGTGTTAGATTGTGTTTCATAGAGTCGGGCAGACCTGTGGATCTCTCTGGGGTGTGAGGAATGTTTTCTTTTTTTTCTTTCATTTCGTTCCTCCCTTGTCAGTGACTTTGGGTAAAGACCAAAAGTCTCTACACTTTTTGAAGTGCTTTTTAAGACTTAGAGAAACGGATTAGATTGTATTCAATGACTAGAAATGTTTAACTATAGCCCATGAGCCCTTATTTTTAAAAAAAGTTGTGACAAGTCAATTTAGACAAAGATTTAAGTCATTGTAGACAACTTAGGCCTGGAAGAGCAGTGGTGAGGAAGAGGCGGTGCCTTTAACATGCCACTGGTGCTGCAGCTGTGGGCCCAGCTTCTAGAGCAGGCCGAGCCTGCAGGTGCTGATCAGGGAGAGAGAACAGATCGAGGCTCCTGCAGGAAGTTGTTTCCACGGCAGTGTAGCTGGGTCGGAACACAGGATGCCTTTCCCACTGTCGTCGCGCCGCCCCCCTGCTCCTGCAGAGAACTGCCTGTGTGAAGAACGAGGCAGTTACTCCAAGTCGCCGCAGCTCGCGTGGCTTCACGGCAGTTGTGTTCTCCTGTGGAGTGAGAGTACGTGCACTACTTGGCACACACATGACTGGGTGAGGCCCTGGATGAGGCACAGAAGCCAGTGACTAGCATGGCTGCTCTGGGGAGGGGCCTGGGCTGGAGGGAGGCTTTCCCTGTGTGCCGACTGGACCTTACACGTGAGAATGTGTGACCTGTTTGGAACAGCTTTTAGAAACACTTTTTACTAGAAGTCTTTTTGTTAACTTTTGGACAGTATAGAATGCCTGCCTGGGTGTGTGGGTTGCTCTTTTGGGGGTAGGTTTGGGGTGGTCGTTTTTTTGCATTTCCTTCTTTGAATTTTCTGCATGTTTGAATTTCTTAGAATGAGCAGGCATCATTTTTATAAAAAAGAACAGATACCAGGAACAAATTTCTAAGATGATAAGAATGGTTAATTCCCCTTTAAAAAATTATTTAATACTATGAGTACCTGAGAAAACTAATGTAAATATTTGAGGGGTTTTGTTAGCCAGCTTATTAAATGCTATAGTTTACAACATCTTTTATTCTGTTTATGTGATTTCACCCAGTATTTTTTTCTCTAGTACATAGGACTCAAATTTAGCTTCCTAATGTATGTATTGTCTGCCCTCTGCTCCCACTAGCATTTCCATACATAATCAACAGCCAACCTTCTAAATGCCAAGACCGACACTGAAATCACATTTATCTGTTGATTTTTAAGATATTAGGTAACAACTACTCCATTTACAGAGTTGGGGGTCTCAACAGTCACCCTCAGGTGTGACGTTTCACTAGAAGGACTCACAGAACTCACTGAAGGCTGTCACACTTGTGGTTACTGTTTGTGGTAAAGAATGAAATCAGCCAAGGGAGGAGGCATGAGGGGCAGCATCTGGGGGAGTTTCGAGCACAAAGCCTCTCAAGAAGCTTCTGGTTGTCTCTCCCCGTGGAGTCACAGATTGTGTGAAGGGCCCAGTGATGATGTGGCCATGGGCACAGAGCGTCCCCACAGGGAGGCTTACCCAGACCTCAGGGTCCAGAGTTTTCACTGGGACACCAACACATACGGTTGACCGCATCACAGCGGACCTTTACTTCAGCCTCCCTGGGGTCTTGAGCCCCAAAGCCCCCACAGTACAGCAATTATTAGGCTGTCTGGTGGCACCCAGGGTGTCCCCAGATCAACAAAACCCCTTTCCAGACAGGGCATTCCAAGGGCTTATAGATCAGCCCCAGGAGCTGAGGACAGAGGAAGTTGATAGGACAGCTGGTACTAAGTGCTGCAGAGACTGGACCAGTATCACGTAGCTGGTCAGTGGTAGGGTGGCCTTCATACCACAGGCTCCTCCTGGCTGGTCCCTTCGACCCTGACACTCTCCAAATAGCTGTGTTCTCACCCAGCAGAACCAAATGTGAGGCAGGGAAATGACTGTTATCTGTGGCTTTAGAAAGACATCGCATCTTTCTCTGGGGGTAATGACTAAAGAAAGGGGGATTTAGAAGATTGGTTGGGCTTCTCCTGAGCTCCCTTTACAACATTTGAAAGTCACAATTTTTATTAACAAGGTGACATTGGATGGGTTTCCAGATTTATACTTACAGGAATGACTGTCTTCTGTTTAACACTTTTAGGTCAGAACAGCAATGTTGGAAAATTAAAAACACTCTCTGGGGCTCTTGATATTATGGTGAGAACCAAGCATGCATTCCAGCTCATCAGAAAGGAGCTCGTGGAGGAACTGGACCAGGTAAGTGGGGAAAACATTTATCTCTGTGTTTCATGTGTCTAATTTAGGCTAAGTGGTGAATGTATATGTGGGCCTGGGGGGGTGTGTGTGTGTGTGTGTGTACACGTTGTGTGTATATGTACAGGGTGAGGCAAAAGTAGGGTTACAGTTGTTTGTATGGAAAATAATACAATAATTAATAAATAATACAAGAATAAACTTATGCACTCACAACTGTAAACCTGCTTTTGCCCACCGTGTAGATACAAACACACATACACCTATCAGCTCTGTATAAAAACATCCACAGTGATTTACCGTATTTTCTTGGTGGAATTATTAACTCTTTTTAACTTGCAAGTGCATCTTTTACATTTTAAAATAACCACCTAGACTTTGGTTAGTGAGGCCCTGGGAGTGTAGACTCTGTTAAGTTTGTGTGTGTCGTTTTGTTGTTTTAAGAGAAAGAAAAGGCCTGTGCGCTCTTGTAATGTCTACTGAACTGCTGGGAGCAGCTGAACAGGGAGCAGGCCGAGCAGCCTCCTGGGGAAGGCCTTTCTGGTGTGCGGTGTCCCAGCACTCAGGCTGCAGTGCCCCGTGCTGGAAACTTCCCCAGTCCCCGGGGTGCCCCAGCCAGTGGCTTTCCTAGCCCTGGTGTGTCAGACCCTGTGGAGGACCCATTTCCATATTGCTCCTTTTGTGTCTGATGTTGGAAAGTTAGGAGATCTTCGTTCAGGATTAATTTTTTTCTTTCTAAGTTCCTGTTAGGTATGGGACATTTTTATGCTGTTTTTAGCTAATAAAACAATCTTGGGAGGGCGAAGGAGGAGGGGCCTGGTCACAGCCTCTATCACGGCCACCACTGCCACTCTCCCAACAGGCCTGTCCCTGGAACAGACCCCGGGTTTGCTGGCTGTTTGTTTTTGGTTTGAAGCTGACTGGGTTAGTGACACTTAGTTCCGTCACTTCAGTTGAACCATAGTTGTCGGGAACCTTGGGTGAAAACTCTCTGTTTGTAGCCGAAGAGTGATGAGACCACTGCTGCTGATTCCACTCCTGGTCTGAATCGAGAGGAAGTGCTCAAACTCCTGAGCATCTTTGAGTCCCGGCTGTCGTTCCTGCTCCTCCAGTCCATCAAGCTGCTGTCTCCGACCAAAAAGAAAACAAGGTAACACGGGGCTGTGTGTGGGTGTCTCTGCCCAGCCCCCCACCTATGGAGGCCCACAGGTGATTGCACCGATGCTGTGGAAGGGTAGGTTGTGCTCCTCCCCATCCTTTCTGTGGTTGTCCGGGACCTAAGGTGGGGTGTGTCCAGTGGAGAACTGCTGGGACCCAGCATTGAGGGCTCTTCACAGCAGCTGTGCTGACCTTTCAGCTACGATGAGGTGCAGTTGTTCTGTGAGTCGGGAGTCTGGGCTCTAGGTCCGAGGTGATTCTAACTCCTGGGAGAGCATCCCCATGGTTGCTTCAGATGTGTGTTCGTAACACCGGCTGAGGATCTGAAGGCTTGGTGTGGAGGTGGAGGGAGCGCTGGGTGCTCCCCAGCCCAGCCCAGCCCGTCTCCCCTGGAGTTTCTTCACAGCCTGTGTCATCGGACACTCATTCCTTCTTATTCAGTGCTGTCTGCCTACTTCCCACCCAGCAGAGGGCAGGGGCTGGGGTCTGTCCTGCTCACTGCCAGGGGCAGGTCCCAGTACCTGGTAGGTATTTGTAAGAATGACATGGGTTTGAATTGACGTGTTGAAAGGAACGTCTAGAAACAGGCCCCCTAGGAGATGTGGAATAGGCAGGACTGGAGCACCTGCTTCCCTGCGAGCTGTGGGCACACTGCGACTGTTTGGATCATTTTGAACGGTGGGTGAGCATCGCTGTTCATGTCACTTCTATTTTTTGCTTTGTTTTGTTTTGTTAACCCAGCAATAACATGGAAGAAGATGTAGCCCTCAAAACCAACAAGCAGATTTACTCCCAGCTCTTGAGAGCTACTGCCAACAAAACCACAGGTCTCTTGGAAAGAATTGACGTCCTCACTCGCCTGCTGGACCAGCTGGCCCGGGGCAGCGCCGTTCAGTGACTCGGCCAGGGCCAGTGCCCACAGATGTGTCGTCTGGGCCTTCCGCGCTCGGGCCAGTCTGTCACTCGGTGCTTCGTTAATTAAATACGTGGGAAATGTGCGCTCCACAGGCACCGTGGCAGGAGCAGCGTTCTCATTTCCCAACAGACGGAGCAGTCCCAGCTCCCTGCCTTTTCCATCGGAAGTGCCGGAATCGGAGTTGGACTCAGAGCCCGGCCTCCTTCCTGTGAGGCGTGTGGTGTGTGCAGTTACACTCTTAAGTATTTCTGAGTGTGTTAAGCTACATGGGTTTAAGGCACAATTATTTTGGATAAATGTTACTTTAGGTCAAGGGGACTTTTATCCAGGTGACTTTAGTGGTCACGTGGGTTAGATCTACAGTGTCTCCTCCGAATGGCTCAGAAAGGAGTTGCCCTCTTTAAGCTTCAGTGCAGGATTTCTGGAGACTAGCTGCTGTGCAGGTCGCTGTGTTTAGTGCATGCTCGGAAGGGGCCCACTGCTCTTTGACTTCATATGACAGCTGACCAGGAATATGTACTACTTCCCCCACCCCCGTTTTTATTTTAAACTTGAAACTGTGAATAATAAGTCAGAAAACTATTTTGAATAAATAAGTTATTTCTTTATAATGTCTTTGTCTTTTTTCATTTCACATTTTTCACATCGAGTTTTGATTTGAACTGGTTTGATTAATAAATTTTACAAAGTAAAGATTAAAATATTAAAAATAAGATTCTGCCATCCATTGAATTCTCACTAGAATGTTACACTTGCCGCTGCAGCGTGGCGGCGACATGGCTCCTGTCGGCCGCACACAAGCCTACCCACTTTCCCTGTGCCTGGTGTGCAGACCTGTGCCCGTCCTGCCAGGGTGACAGTGTGGATTCATGTGCATGGTGCCACTGTGGACAAGAGCCCACCTGCCTCTACATCCACCAGCCTGGTGGCCTCAGTGCCATCCGTGGATCAGTTCTACATGTCGACAGGCAGCCCCTCCAGCTATACCTCTGAAGGATCCTGAGCTGGGTCAGAAAAGTGGGACAGACTTAAGCTGAATTTTTACAAACTGCTTCCTGGTGCACAGATTGTTAGGCATTTCCCTTTGACAACGTGCCGACACCTCAGCGCGGGAGGCTTCTCTCTCACCACTTGTCTACTTCCTTGTTTACTTGCTTTGTCCTTGGGACAGATTTGCATCGGTTTTCAGAAGTTAATCATTGAAGCATTTAAAGTTTTGACTAAACTGTAAGCAGTTGTACAGAGTCCGCAATGTCTCCCATCTGTCCCCTGTGGCAGGCACATGCAGAATCTCAGTCCTCTCTGCTAGTTCAACGTGGACTCTCCCGTGGACTACTTCTAACTTGGATTCGTGAATTCAGGAAAGGGTTTGTACTTCTGCTGGAGTCGGGCACAGCAGCTCATCTTGACCGACATCCTCTCAGCTGGACAGCCTTTCTGTCCAGAGGAAAATTGGTTTTTAAGCGAGAAGATAGAAGTCCTGGCTATCTTCCCTTGTCATAATAGTAGTATGGAATTCCTGTGTGGGGGGTGCTTTTAAAATGTTTTGTAACTTGATTTTAAATTAAATGAAAGCTGCTTAAAAGTGTGTGTGTTTTAGCTGTTCCTTTACAAGAACTGTGGTGTTTGTGGCCTGATCAGTGGGACTGCTGGGTCTTTTCCAGTTCACTTCAGTGCCCACATTTTGTCCCCATCATTACAGACGACATCGGGGGTTTGTCTGTGTCATGAAGGTGTGTTGTGTGAAAGTTAAAGGAACACAGTGCCTATCCTAGAGGTAACTGATACGGGAAACAAGCTTGAGTACCCAGTGAGCTTCAGGAGTCTTAACTTCGGTAGTCCAGCCCTCAGAACATAATACAGTGCCGGGTGAAGTGTTTCCTGCTTGAGGGGCAGGCCAGAAAGCGGTCCAGCCAGGACCGTTTGGGTTACAGGCCTGTATTCAAACAGCGCCCAGGGTTGGACAGAGTGCAGGGTGCCAGGCTGGCCTGAGGGTCAAGAGCAACCACTGCGTCTGATGGGTGGCAGCACCCCTGCTACTCTCAGGGAGTGGCACCTGCGATGACCCCAGGGCAATGGCTGTTCCCACCTACCCTGGACATTGGTGGGGGGCTGGACAGGGGTGCTGGGAACTTGGCTGCAGAACCCTAGCAACAGTGGGAAGCAAGGGCGGATTCTTCAGCGATTTGTTTTTTAACCTTTCCTAAAATAATTTGTAAAATCATTTGGTAATTTTTTTTTTTTTTTTTTGCCTAAGAAATTGATTTTTAAATCAAGTATTTTAAAAAGCTCAATAATACTTTTTCCATTGGTTTTAACCTAGGGAGCTCCATTCGTTTTGGTTACTGAAAACCTAGTGGGTTTTCTCTAAGAAATCGACATCTTAGGAGAGGAGTCCTTCGGCTCCCTCCGTCAGCCTGTTTCCTCATGCCATGCTCAGGGTGGAGGTGTGGACATCGCACACGTCGAACCACTTCCCGGAGATGGGCTCCTTGGGGAACACGCTGTTGGGAGGAAGCCAGGCGCCCCGCCGCCTGTCCCCGTCACTCGCCACTCGCCAGTAGGCGCTGCCTTTGAAGAGGAAGACAGACTTGTGTGCGTAGGAGTAATAGGCCGAGTCCAGGTTTCTGAGCGGGTGGTTCCCAGGCTCTGTCGCTGGGAAGACTTCTGTCATCCTCTTCGGGTAGGAACTGAGGACTTGGTTCCTGTTGACATCGAAGGCAAACACCTGCAGAGCAAGGAGAGCAGGCTGGTCTTTCCGAGGCCACTGACGCACGCAGTGAAGTAGGTACGTCTGTCTGCACCAGATTCTCGGGGCTTCAAGTGCTTAACTACTTCCCATGTGGTCTGTTGTTGCCATGTAGGCACACGGTGACCACACAGCTTTTTATCTTTTTATCAGCAGAGAATATTTTTTCCATGGCTTTTCAGAGAGTGGAACGGGGAGAGAAACACTGATGAGAGAGAGAGAGAGACAGTGACTGGATGCCTTCCTCATGAGCCTGGGTATCGCGCCTGCAACCGAGATAGGTGCCGCACCTTGACTGGAATCAAACCCAAGACCCTTCAGTCCACAGGCTGATGCTCTAACCACTGAGCCGAAGCAGCCAGGCCTAGTTATTTTTCAATCCTCACCTGAGGACGTACTTATTCATTTTTAGAGAGGAAGGAGGGAGAGAGTGAGCGAGCGTCATCCATATGTGAGAGAAACATCCATTGGTTGCCTCCTGGAACGCACCCTGACTGGAGATCAAACCCACCACCTTTTGGTGCACCGGTGATGCTCCAACCATCGGAGCCACCCGGCCAGGGCAGTAACAGCACAGCTGTTAGCAGCACGTGCTCGCCGGACATGCTTCATTTAGGGATGGTAAAAGCAACAGGTGGCAGAGCCTCCACTCACGAGGGAGCCTTTGAAGAAGTAAATCAGCTGCTTCCTTCGGTCATAAAATGCAGTGTCCAGGGGACTCGGGACGCCAGGAAACCCTTCTGAAATCAGCCTGGGGTAGCCTTTCCCGTGTTCATCTTCCGTGAGGGCCTGATCCCTGTCACTGTCGTATCTCCAGTATTGATTTCCTGAGAGCCAAACAAAAAACAGTACCAGGTTTATTACCACTAAGTCTCAGGAAAGGACAGAGCAGACAGCTCTCCAACCAGCCCCAGCGACCATGGTGTCTGCCATGACTGCGGGAGGAAGCTGGGCTTCAGCAGCCAAGTGAGGCCTCCACTTTCCTAGGTCCTGAGGTTCTTCTAGATCTGACCCCAGGGGACCGAGTGGGGCCAACATCAACTACGGTCAGGACTTCTTAAGCCACGAAGGATGTGCTCCCAACTCCAAAACATCCAAACTACAAAAGTCTACCGGGAGCGGGAGAGACAATTTCTTCATGTAACTGAACTAAAGAATTCTTTGTGTGATGTGAAGGAAAATTAGGACTAAATTTATGCACAGATATCTTACAGCAACATTTGCATGCGCAGTTCTTTCCATCTGGCTCTTGCCTCGCTAACTCTGTGAGCCATTTAAGGCAACGTGGTTCTATTACTAGGACTCAGGCAGCAAGGGCAAGAAAAGCAGCCACCACCACATCGTGTTTGCGGTCAGACTCCGTGGGTGTGGTTCACAAAGGCAGCCCACTGGCCTGGCTGCTCCGGGTGTTCACTGAGACCTCCTGCCCCCCACCTCAGGTTCTCTGTCCCCAGAACACTGATCCTCTGCCCAGAAGCTGCCACCGACTCGCCCCTGGGCCTGGCAATCATTAGCGGTTCTGTGCTGGGCTGACCGTCTTTCCAACCTGATCCCATGGAGTGAGTGCCCTGCCTCCCCCAGGGCGTAGCTGTCGCACATGCTTGTTCACTCCTGGCTCTAGGGCTGTGAGTTTGACCCCAACTCCCTCCCCCCCAACTTCCCCACCACCACTCCAGGGGTCCCCTTCTGGACACTCTAGGTCCTACCATCCTTCCAGTGTGGGCCTAGCCCTCACTCCTGGCGGCTCTAGCACCTGTCTCTGGGGGGCGGTGATGGCCTCCCCTGTTCACTCTACCTCTTCAAACATGTGTCTCCTATGGGTGGGCTTCCAAGGTGTTTACTTCTCCAGACTCTGAGAAAAACTCTTCTAGGGAGGACGCTTTCCCACAGTTCTTTGGCAACCACGTCAGAGCCCCTCTCAGTTCCTTCCCTCCCTCCCTTGTTCACTTGACATATTCATTCAGTGCCTGTGTAAAAGATCAGGGATCCCGATCCCCATGCCCACAGGGCTTCCAGCTGGACGGGACAGACAGAAACTAAGCAACTTCTGGAGCATTACGGGAGAGTCCCCGGGGGAGGGCTCGAACATCTGTCCTGAAAGCATCTGTTTAATAGGGAAACAGAGCTGCCCAGAAGGGCCTCTACCTTTAAAAAAATAACGCTCATCTCTCCTCCACGTCCAGATGTGGACGACGGCGTCGATGCCCTGTGCCGGGACTCCATGCCAGCCAGTGAGGATGGGGATGGGGTCCCCGTAACGCGTCCGGTTGTTCCGGTTCTCATACAGCCAGTACCAGCTGTTGCGGAAGAAATAAGTGCTGAACCTCACCGTCGCCTCCCCGCGGTGGTTTCTCTCCTTGCGAATCCAGTCAAATGCGGTATCGAAGGAGCCTTCACAGGAACCTTAAAAAAAAAGTCCAGCCACTTGCCACTGGGTGCAAAAACCAGCCCTTCCTATTTTTACATGTGACTTTTCAAGACCATTGCTAAGCTGGAGCTTTCTATTAAGACATCTTAAAGCCAGAAGTAGGCCTCCCTGCGCTGAATGGCGGGAGCAGGAGGGACCCCAGTGGCCTGCAACCGTGCCGGGCACTGAGTTATCCTGGCTCATTATTAACAGTGCTCCCGATCACTCTCTAAAGTGTCTCTACTTGGATGCTAGTTACACGGTCACTTTAAGTGTAGCTGATGCCCCTTTGGATGGCTAATCTGACTTCACTGGAGGGAAGGAGTGTGGCTCTGGGCACACGAGAGGTTTCCACAGAGGGAGATAAACGTGTCTTGGCACGTGGTATCTCCAAAGGTGCTGCGTGCCAAGGACAGGACGGTGTGAGTTGCACAGAAACAGGGACGGTCCCTGTTTCAGATGGAAACGTGGAGGGCAGTGTCCCTTCCCTACAGCCTCGGTGCTAAATCATTAATCCTTCCATTAAGTAACTGACCACCACCCCTTTGGCCTGAACAGTCAAACAGACGTTAGAGCCTATCCCGGCAAGGCTGAGCTGTCCTTTGCCTTGAGATTACAGACAGTTTCTCCCCGCGGCTTCCACTCCTGTCCTCTCATGGGACACCATGGCCCTGGGGGGCCCAATTGTTTAGAGAACCACCCACCGCGGGCCCCTCCTTACTCCCAGGGAGGACTCAGGAGGGACAAACCCAAGAGAGNGTCAAACAGACGTTAGAGCCTATCCCGGCAAGGCCGAGCTGTCCTTTGCCTTGAGATTACAGACAGTTTCTCCCCGCGGCTTCCACTCCTGTCCTCTCATGGGACACCATGGCCCTGGGGGGCCCAATTGTTTAGAGAACCACCCACCGCGGGCCCCTCCTTACTCCCAGGGAGGACTCAGGAGGGACAAACCCAAGAGAGTGTGCCTTGCTCTCCATCTGCCTGTAGTCTGGGCACAGCCACCTTTCACTAAGAACACGGCCCCGAGCCTCAAGGTGGCTGCTCGGGGCCCGCAGACGGGAGTGAGTGGGGTGCTCTCAGGCTCTGAAAGACCGCGTCCTCCGTCACCTCCGAGGGTGACCTCTCCCAGGACAGTCTTACCGTATAGCTTCTGAATTGCTTTCCTGTCTGACCAGTCCAACTCGAATGCAGGCCCCTGGGGGATGTAATTCGGCTGCATTATGGATCCTGTCCTGTAGGTGTGAGGCAAGCCGAGGACATGGCCAATTTCATGGACGGCCACCTGGAAGGGAATACAAACCATCGGAGCAGGGCCAACGCTGGGTGTCTGGGACCTGCCCCGCCATGGAGGGCAGGCTATGCCTGGAGAGGAGCCGTGCTCGGGAGTGAGAGGGGACTTTCTCAGAAGGAAGCGGACACCTCCCGGGACAGGCTCTGGCCGCCTGGCTCCCACCCACGCTGCACTGCCCATTGACCATGACCATCAGCTCGGGCCCAGCTACCTGGAGTAGGCTGACGCCCATGCTGCTGGTGGGAGGCGTGAAGTGCTCGTCATCGTCAAAGTGAATGTCGCCCAGGTGCCAGGCGTGTGCAAACTCCTGCCCGATCCCATCAAAAACTCGCGGGCAGCCCAGGTGCCGGCCTGGCCAGGGGGAGGGGGCGTCCAGGTGAATTAGGAGTGCCCACTGCAGACTCCCTACCTGGTGGGACCCAGGAACACAGAAACCTGTAGGGTTCCCAGGCCGGAGGGCTTTGGGTCCAGCAGCAGCAGCAGCAGCGCCTGGACTGATCCCTCAGTGTGAGGAGCGCAGGAGACAGGGTCGTTTATAAACTGACAGTCTAAAGGCCTAACAGCTGCGTGCCGAGGAGGGACGGCTCCACTCTGCCGCGAGCTGGGGGTGCGTGGTGGGCGTGGATGGCTGCAGGCTCGTGCGGGAGACAAGGTCTGAACGGGACCCTAACAGCTGAGTGGTCAGGAAGTAAAGCAGGTGCTGCCCAGTGGTCACATCCTTACACTTGTATCGTTTTTCAACCAGCTGTGCCCCTGTGTGCCTCTCAGGTCAGGAAGTTACTCCAGTGAGACGAGCCGGGCAGCCACCAGGACCCCTGGTTCCCAGGTGGGACTGCAGAGAAGTTACCTTGTCCAAACCCACCCAGCTGGGAGGAGATGGGCCCCTGGGGAACCCCCCGTCTGTCCTGTGCCCTAAGGAGCACACCGAGTTCCTGAGAGCAGTGCCCACTGGCTCACCTGCTCCAGTGTCCCCATGAGACCCTCTGGTCTTTGCAGGGGGACACGCCGGTGCCCTTCCCAGTGATTCGCAATAAAGCAACGTCAGCAGAGGGCTTACAGTAAGGCCCCCCGACAGGTGCCGTCTCAGAACAGCCCAGGGAGCAGGTAACTGCGGGGGCAGGAGGCCACGGTGGGGTCCCCAGGGCCGAGAGCGCCCGTTGTCACCTGGTCCCTACCTCCGGCTCCGGGGGGCAGAGGGGCCCGCCTGCGCGCAGAGGGGACAGGGTGGCACAAGGTCTCGGCCCTTCTTACCTCGTCCGAAACCCAGCTTTATGTCAACGGTGGCCCCGGGGCCCGCGAGGTCCTCCCGGAAGCTCAGGGGGGTCACCTCGCTCCACATGCGGAAGGCCAGGCGGAGGACGGACCTCTGCTGGGCCTCGGGCAGCTGGCCGCTGTAGCCCTCCCGCAGCAGCCGCCAGCTCAGCGTCTTTTTGGCGAAGGCGCGAGGGGCCCCGCCCTGCGCAGAGCCCGCGGGGAGCGGGCCCGGCCCC